CCAGACCTCTGTAGGTACCCACTGGCCCCCTTACAACCACCCAGTAAACCTTATAAAACCGTCAGTTATGATCTGAAGTCAGTCTGACCTCTTTCTCGTTGGTTCTTGGTGCAGCAAATGAAGATGGATCGGATGAACCAGATGAACGCTGACGGGAACATGGGCCCCCCACAGGGACAAGGTCCTATGCCCCCCTTCCCCGGCCCAGGAGGCCCCGGAGGTCCTGGGGGCCCGATGCCTCCTGGCCAGCAAGGCTTTCCCCCCAGCATGCCTCCTCAGCAGATGCCCAACAACATGGGGCCTCCCATGGGACCCGGAGGCATGCAGCCTCCATTCATGCCCCCTGGACAGATGGGGCCACCCTCTGGACCCCAGCCTCACCAGGGGCCCCCTCAGGGCATGATGGGACCACCAGACATGCAAGGACCGCAAGGTATGCAGAGACATCCAGGCCCTCCCAGAAACATGGGTCCCCAAGGGCCTCACGGTATGGGACCCAGAGGGATGCAGGGGCCCCCTGGTGGGATGATGGGACCCCCTCCTCGAGGAATGGGTCCAAGGGATCCGCAGGGGCCTCCACCTCAGGGGGGCATGATGGGCCCTCAGGGTCCCATGCAGGGTGGGATGATGGGGCCCCCACCCAGGACACACGGCAACATGCCAAACAACTATGGGATGGGCAACATGCAGGGGCCCCCGGGAGGGATGCATGGGCCTCCAGGAAATATGCAGGGACCCCATGGAAACATGCAGGGCCCTCCTGGTAACATGCAAGGACCACATGGAAACATGCAGGGGCCCCCAGGAAACATGCAGGGACCCCATGGAAACATGCAGGGACCCCCAGGAAACATGCAGGGGCCCCATGGAAAAATGCAGGGACCTCCAGCAAACATGCAGGGGCCCCCATATATGCAGCACCAGGTGAGTTCATGTGTTTACTTCCAGAGGATTCCTGTTGTATCATCAGGACCAGGTTCAGGACCAGGTTCAGGACCAGGCTCAGGACCAGGTTCAGGACCAGGCTCAGGACCAGGTTCAGGCTGGTTTTAAAACTGCTGTGTGAAGGAGTACTGGATAAATCTGATTTGGTCTTTCCAGGGTCAGAACTCGGGGCCTATGATGCATGGGATGGGGCAGCAGGGGCCCAACAACAAAGGTAAGACCAGAGTCATATTTATTTATTCCTCCTTGAGCTCGCAGTGATTCATGTTAACCACTTGTAGGACTTTTGAAGGTAATCACCAGAAGAATAATTAAAATGTAAAACACAACCAGGCTGTAAAGGTGGAAGAAGATCCATCCGACTATAATCATTAGATTATTTTAATATTCTGACGGTCGTCCTGTAGGAGACCCTCGGGGGCCGCCACCAAACCACCACATGGGCCCTCCTGACCGGCAGGGTCCTGGAGGACCAGACCAGGGCTCAGGTCCTTACTGGGGGGACAACCAGCAGGGTCGCCGTGGACCGCAGGACTTTGATGGAGGCCAGGAATTCCACAGCAGAAGCGAGGAGGGCTGGAGACCTGGACCTGGGTACCAGGGAGGAGGAGGGGGAGGTCACAGGGGGGGAGGACACCGAGGAGGAGGGAACGGGGGGAACTGGGGCCCCGAGGAGAGGTTCAGTGGAGGAGAGTTCAGAGGACGGAGAGACGACAGGTGAGACACCTTTTGAGGCTGAATGTGAAGTGGGGCAGAGCTAGAACTGAAACCTGCAGACTCTGAGGTCTGAACTGGACTCTGGGTGTTTCAGGTTCAGAGGAGGAGGCCCCGGCCGGCCTGGAGGTCGAGGTTACCCTGACGAGTACGGTGGCCAGGAGGAGGGCTTCGACGGCCCGGAGGAGATTGGTCGAGGCTGGGACAACGGAGGCAGAGGGAGGCCGCCTCGAGGAGGAGGTCCACCCAGAGGAGGAGGTGAGAGGAACCGGGACTAGTTTCTGTTCTGTCTGTCCAAACCGGTTTACTGTTAACAGTTGAGCAAACCTCGGTCAACTTCCTCCTGTTGCTATAAATATAAAACATAGCTATTTACAGCTGATAGTTAATGTTAGAAAACACAGAAAACACAGACCAGTTCCCACCATGAGCAAGACCTTGAGACAGCAAATAAACTTTATATTTTATACTTCTGCAGACTCTTATTGTGGCGGTGTTCTCCTTGTCTTCCTGTCTGTAGGTCATGATGGTTATCGGGATGGTCAGCAGATGCATGATGGGTCATCTCCGGCCGGTCGCGAGCGCTCCTCCTCCCTGCAGGGGATGGACATGGCGTCTCTGCCCCCCCGCAAGCGACCGTGGCAGGACGGCCCGGGAACCGGAGACCCCCGAGAGCGAGAGTCCCCGGGAGCTGACGGAGGTTACAATCAGACTTATATAATCAATATGTAAATTAATCAACACACATATATAACAGGGTGTCCGCGGGGTTGTAAAAGGTATTAAAAGGTAGTAAATGAAATTAGCAAAAATTAAGGCCATTAAAAAGTAATAAAC